AGAAGCCAGTGCTAATTTGCAGAGTTAAGGTGTTCACACCCCAATCTCTCGCAACGGGTACTTTTATGAAATTCGCCAAATTTCAATAACAGACAGACACACTAAAGAACCAAGTACCATAACCCTTGCTGCACATACGCGCTAATGCTCCCGACAACAACAGCTAGCTATCTACAAACAAAGCATGAGCAGCTGAATGCTCTTGTCCTAATGAGATCCAGTGAAAGAGGATAATAGCCCAGTTTGGTATCACTGAAACTTGATCTCTTGAGTGAGTACTGGTGTATAAATTGTACTAGGTGACCAGGATTTATATGCACACTCAGCACATTCCATAATGCTACAAGTTGAAAAATCATTTGAAAGGGGGATATAGGGATGGCTTGAAGCACCAAAAAGGAAGAAACAAGGGGTCATTACACAGCAAAGTTGCACAAAGCTATATACATGACACCATCCCTATATCTTTGTTCGATATTAAACTTTGCTTATAAACAATGAAACAAGATATAAGGATGGTGTCATGTAGCTTTGTGCAACTTTGCTGTGTAATGACCCCTTGTTTCTTCCTTTTTGGTGCTTCAAGCCATCCCTATATCCCCTTTCATTTTTGAAGAAATGATTTTTCCACTTGTTTCCACTTTTAACAGCTTATGACAACACTGTATTTATTGTTACGTACACAGTCACTCTGATGTTCATGAGTATGTTGTAGATAGGCTATATACAATAGACAAATTGTAACTGGGGCTGCTAGTGCCTGAAGCAGGGGATATAGATACCGCATTCACCTCATGTATTGTCTTCAACAAGGACGTAACTAGATTATTGCACATAGTTGTGGTTTCATGGGAAGGCTTTGGTAATCAGGCTACAACCTGGGGGGGACAAACAATGATGGCCCATTTGACTGAGCGCCCAGCAAGGCTCGCGTAACACCGCGCAGACTCTGGCAAGTGCAAAGCTAGCCAGTTGGAAATGTGCACAATTACTTACAGAAGGTACTGGAGGCTGAGAGTTCCTCTGTATGTCTGCCAACTCGCCTGGTAAGTGATATATACGTAGTACGCTCGCAAGCGCATTGGACAACGTCCCTGCCTGGCGCATGCGCGCGGCTCACTGATGCTGAGTTACCAGCAAATGGCGTTGTTCAGTATCGACCATGGAAGAGCTCCATGATCTACCGTAGTGATTAGCGGCAAGAAAGAAACGATCGCTTGATGTCCGTGCACATCTCCGGCGAAATTGGAGACCTTCAGTGAAAAAATCAGTGCTTGAACTGGTACTGGTAAGAAGATAGCGGGTTTAAAGAAGAAGAAGAAGAAGAAGAAGATGAAGAATATGTTGACACGAAAATCGTGAAATCGCGATTTATATGCACACTCTGCACATTCCATATTGCTATTATAGCACAGGTGGATCATCATGATCGAATAATGATTATCATGACTGAAATTTCCGTAATACTACGCGGCGCGCAAAGTGTTAATATAGCTACTACTGGTGTTTACGGCAACCATGGGGGGATACCCGGGGTAGCCCCAATAGCTCTAGTGATGTGTGTCAGCTATGCCACCACTCGAGGGTGTTGGCCCATATGGAATGCCAGACTAGCTACCGGATTGGACCGCACATGTAAATGCGTGCTGCATACTTGCAAAATATTAACATCAAGTATAGTGTGCCATTCTAAAAGTTAGTACAGAATCATTTCAAACACAACTACAGTTCCAATTCGTAGAAGAGCTATATATTCAAGTTAAGAGTGTTAAATCTGCCTTAAATGTGACATCAAATGGACACCAACACCACTGTGCATATGTAAGAGGGGTAAAGAGTACAAAAATACAATTAACTGAGTCTCTTTTATCTTTATAACAGACAGTCAGTTTAAGAATACATTTACACTCGTAGGTCACTTTCTTTCTCAGCAACATCTGGCTCAGAAACTGCCATCTCTGTCAGCTCAATCTGAGGATGATCAGCAGGAGATGGAGGTGGGGATGTTGTAGTAGCCACTGTAAGAGTTGGGAACCGAGAAAGCTCCATGTAGCCAGCATCTCTTTCCAGGAGGTCATTCACTGTGACTACCAAATCAGAGAACTTTGGACGTTCACCAGATTCCAGTTTCCAGCAGCAGACCATGACATTGAATCTAATGAAGCAAGCATAATCCCTCACAATAGGATGAGGTAGCTAGATTGTCCATGATCATGGAGGGACATTAGCTATTGCCATTATGGTCACACAGTGATCGCACATGGCATTCGTGGGAACCAATTACTCTGTGGAAGCAAAGCACTGATATACAGCTACTCTATAGCTGGAAACATTAAAGAAAAATATTGCAGAGAAGAGAAACTTGCTGACATAATAATGTACACACTCAATTTGCGGATGACTCAAAAAATTCATACCTCTAAAGATTCCCATGCACTTCATTTCATCTAGCTATAAGGTGCATGTTTAGTCAATTCAACAACTGTTGTAGTCATACATTGCTAACACCAAATAGTGTACAGACACAGTCAAGTGTGTACAAAACTTTTCCCGCATCCTGAGTTGCTGGTGAAAATCTTCGTTAAAGTGTGACTTGTACTTAGAAATAATAATATGGTGACATAGCTATCAGAAATGCTAAGATAGATATTAAATCCATACATGTCATCATGGCAGGCCTTGTTGTCAGGTTTCTCCAGTCTCTCTCCTCTCTTTAGTTCAGTCAGAAGGCACATGGCATGCATTCCAGCAACGATACATATACACATTTTGCTGCTAACCACATCAGAAGCCTCGGTGTAGATGCAGTTTTCAATACTCTCAACAGCCATCCACCTGATGGGGACTTTCTCTTCTGTCTCACTCTTTTTCCTTCGACGAATGTAGTTAGTGTTGTACATGTCCTCTGTCAGTCCAAAATCAGCTACTTTGATGACCCCTTCTCCATTAATCCTGTTTTAAATCCACAAGTAATCACAGGGTGTAACTAAACACAGTGCAAATAAATATCGAACAGCCCAACTGTACACACCTAGGAAAACAACTTTTTCCAAAGAAAAAAGAGCTCCCCTATATAGGTGGGACCCGAACCAACACTAAAGCAGAAGGGCAGGGAGCAAAGTGCTGGGCGCAAAGTTAATACAATACAAGACAAAGGCAAAACCCACACACAGTGCCATGACTCAGAAACCCGTCACTTAATGATAGAGGACACTAACATGCATTATAATATGTAGTAAGGTCACACACTCATACATGCAGTTCCTTGCTGCCAGGTCACGATGAACAAACTTTTGTCCAGAAAGATATTCCATTCCTTTTGCAATGTGGAGGCATATCCAAAGAAGTGTCTTACATGCTAATTCTACCTGGAGCAAGTAGTTAATTAACCAAGATCACAATATTATTCTTTGTAATATTATTAATTACCTCTTCTTTTAGAAATTGGCCTGTTACTAGCAGATTATCTTTGCGATTTTTGAGGTAGTCTAGCACGCTCCCGTTTGACATAAATGGCATGATGATTAGGGGCATCTCCCCATCAATGCACACTCCAATAAGAGACATCACGTTTTCGTGTTCGAAAGACAGCATGGTGGACACCTCCTTTGCCAATGTCTTCAAGTCACGTGTTGAAGAAAGTGCTAATAGAAAAAAAACCACACCTTAACCAAGGGGTAGTTACACAGCAGAAAACACAAAGCTGTAGCGGTTATGCTTAAGCAAATTCATTTTGCCTATCTAATGATTGGTTCGCACACTAAACGTGCAACAAAGTATGTATGTTGCGAACGACATAAGAACCGAGCACTAGCAGCAGCACCGTGTAGCTATATAGCACATACACAAATGCATGCCACATTAAAACCTCTGATAACATAATAATTGTATACGTTGGGTTCAAGTACCGGTTTTCATCAACAACCACTTAGCTACATACAACTGGCTGGTTTGGATACTAGAGTAAGTTTTCTGTTTGTGAGCTTCGTGAGACTGAACCCATGCATTGACACTCTAATAAGAGAAGAATACCAGAAAACTAACATCCGTACCTTTTCCGGTTTTAACTGCAACAATGTCGCTACCAACCGCCGTTCTAATGTAACCTTTGTACACAAGTCCAGACTCTCCTGTACGAAGTGTACTAAAAATCAGGTTCAAATAAATACAAAACCACCTTGTCCAACTGTGGTGGAGAGCTGAATTTGATCCTTTGAGTATATCATTTTCTTGTTTTCCAGTTGCTCTCGGAGATGTTGCAAAAAGTCAGCTCGCCTGCCTTCACCTAGTTTTAATTTATTCCAAATTAGCTATTGCTTGGAATAAAAAGAAAATTTACTCAGAGAAGAGTAATGCGGTTCACGAGCAGAAGTGCTTTCCAAGTTTCTGTGCATTGTGTAAAAGAGATAGTTAAACAATGAAAGGAACCAAAGTCATACATACCTCCTTTCCTTGGTTCTCTTTCTATAAGCTGATATAATTACAGTAACCGCAACGAAACCGACAATCACACTGAGAATTAGAGTCCCTAGCACTGCTGCTACAATAACCACAGTTTGTGAAGAGGCTGCTTGCGGAAGTGACGATGTAACTGCAGGTAGTAGGGTACACCAAACATTTCATTAGATATTCAAGAAATAGCTACACCCCTGTGACGTCCCTATGTCCCACTTCAAGAAATGAAGTGGGATGTAGAGATGTCACATCATGAAAAGGAAGGGGAAACAAGAAGATGCCTAGTTATACCAAGACAGAAAGTCATTCATAGCCCCAAAGCTGTTAGTCTTTAAGCAACACAGATTTGCTAATAAGCTAATCTAGGGTAATTTACTTTCTGCAAGATTAAAGTTAACGAACCAGATTGCAAATTATCATTGAGAGAAAGTTACTCGGATGCTTTCAGATGGTTTACCTTCATTGAGGTCGCTGATACATATAGTCGCTGAAGAAGGATCAACAGTAAACCCAAAAATTGTGGAGTTAGTTGATATCGTGTAATTGAAGCACTCATCCCCAACTTCAGTAGTATTGTCTGATATGATTGCAATTGAAGTACACTGTTCCGGGTTTGAGTCAGTTATATCAAAGTTTCCATTGGTTGGCATATAATCACCAGGAGCTACATAAAAATTTAATGAAGTAGTTAGACATAATATTTCTTTGGCTTGCCTTTGGCATCACCATCAACAGTTTGGTAGCTGACACTGAACGTCCTCCCAGAAGTAGTTCCAGAGAGAACAGATGTACACACAACAGCCACGCCCTCTTCTTCCACCACTGAGTACACTGTCTGACTTAGACCAATAGTCACATCTGGTATAATGATACAAGTATTATCTTAAGTGGGACATCGGGATGGCTTGTAAGCATGAAAGAAACAGCATCATCCACGACACCATTCTAAAAAACGCATAACACAGGCAATTGACTTAGACATGCTGTAATGCGGTAGATAGATGTCTTTGGTATGAAACTAGCTATCAGGATTTTTCAATCAGTAAGAGCCATGTTGGGCAGATTTTCTATCCGCCGATAGGACACTCATACCGTAATGTTCTACGTGCTTCTAAATACACGCAGAAAACGTGCGAAATATTCCTCAGCCAGCATATATAGTATGTTTCACGTCATCCTATATGCGCAAAACATGTGTGAAATTACAAACTGCTCGTGCTCACTAGCCGTTACATTCCTCTAGTATTCCAGGGGCGTCGGAGCCGCTACGGCCAGTACGGCGACAGCCGTACCACTGCCTGGACTCGCCACCTAACTTACTTCTTGGCCTACTGTAGGAACCCAGCCAGGTGTCTAGGGCCCCGTAAAGGTGGCGCGCACGGCGCAGTCGCGTCGCGCAGCTTTAACCCAGCCCCTTTGTACGTGCGCAGGCGTAGTTGAGCGAATGAGAGCGGACGTACGACGAAATCTGCCGTGGCTAAATAGCAATCATTATCTTCTCAAGATTTGGAGCAGCAGAGATGAGCCGTACCACTTGCCTGAACCTTCCGACGCCCCTGTATTCGATAATGCCAGGCCCACCATGGACTATATAATTATTCGCACTCACCTGAGTCCTGGAAGTGGTTGTGTAAACAGACACAACGTACTTTACTTATGGGATACTTTTCTTGTGGGACATACAGTTAACTTTTGACTGATAAGGTTTCATGGTTAGTAAAGGATACTGTCAAAACCAAAAAGGTGTGAGGATTCCAATGGTGTTAGCGTTTTAACAATTGGGGGGATGCAAAATAAAAAAAAGGTTATGACATGGACATTAGAGTTACTCACAGCATTCGGGCTCTCTGCTATCATCAATGAAAATGGTTGCATTTGAGAGGTTGGATTGTAGCTGTACTCGATTGCCCATTGTTGAAATAATACTTAGACCAATGTTGAAGAATGTAGGCTGACACTCATTATCATTATCAATGCTGTATTTGTGACATTTTCTCGACTCAGATGTAGAAAAGTATAATTCCTTGTAGCAATCATCAGCTGCATTGGATGTCTCAAATACTGCATTAAAGTTTTTGACCATAATAACGATTGACACAACTTTAATTGCAAAATAATTATTATACCTGATGTTGGTAGCAAAACAACTGAAAACGAATGAAGGTGTTTCCCATTGAAAGAGTTAAGAACTTCCACACACACAGTAACTTGTTCCTCTGCCTCAGTTATTGAGTATACATTAGGATAAAACCCAACCATCACATCTACAATGGGGAGAGAGAGAGAGAGAGAGAGAGAGAGAGAGAGAGAGAGAGAGAGAGAGAGAGAGAGAGAGAGAGAGAGAGTGTGTGTGTGTGTGAACATCCAGTACTGTGGTGGACATCTACAGACTGCTTAGATTTGCCTCCAAATATCCATTGCTTGGCTTGTGATATATACAAAATGGTCTTTTGTCGCCATCTGCTGTGGCTTTGATAATAACTGAGAGCTGTTCCCTTTTGCCTCCATAATTATTTGCTCAATCAAGGTTGCATGTGTGCTGAGCTGCCATAGAAACTATTATGGTGATCTGATTGGTTAGTCAGGCTGTAATACAAATAATATGGCACCATACGATACTGCACGAGGGTGTATCCTATGCTATTTTGGCGGCTATATAATTATATAGCTAATTATACATTAACCTATACTCAACTTTTACACATGAAAGTGTGTATAATATTATTATAATAAACTCCCTATCCTTTTAATACCATCATCATCCAGGATAGTGAAAACTCCAATCTCTGGGGTGATTTTAACCTGGCTGGTAAGGTTAGATCTCAGCTCGAGAGATATAGTGAACGATTCGGTGTCCTCAGCAATAGCGTCATCAACAATTGCAATTGAAGCGCAGGCACTTTCACGGCAATCAGTAAAGTTTATGGTTGGTAGGCTTGCATAGTCAGCCCCAAACACTAGACAGAAAAAAGGGTTGAAAAAGTACAACTGTCAACATTAAAGAAGAAGAAGAAGAAGATGAAGAATATTATGATGACACGAAAATCGCGTATGAGCGAATTCTCGCGTGGACGACTGAAGGTGCGTATGAGCTATTGGGGGACGTGTATAGGTAGATATGGGCCCGTAGACTATTGCTAGTATGTTTTAAAGGCCTAGGGAGTGATTCCCACCGAGTTTTTAGTCGTTTTGTACGCGGATCACGTGCGATTTCACCCGCGTCATCCCTATATTATAGAGAGTCTACCGACTCTCTAATTATACCACATCTAGGCCCAGAGGAGGAGGCCTAGGCAATAATGATGAATGTGTAGACATATCTCAATACACGCTATTATCGTTCCCAGTAGCCCTACTGCGGCGTGTATATACTTATTGCATTCCAAACATCCTGCGAAAGCGCAATTAGCACGCATTTCCTCCCTCTTCTATATCTGATCAAACCGACTAGTATGACGCCCGGGATACAGCAGTATAGTATGTTTGGTCACAAAACGTAAATTATTTACATACATCCAGAAACGTCACCAAAACTCGCACAAGAATATTGTGAACTCCGACCCGGTAGCTAGGTGGGGGGGCGATCGGGAAATGGACGAGAGGGAAAAATAAGTTCGGCAACTCGTAAAAGACGTTGTCTACTGTAACATTACACAAGATCCTCCAATCTCCTCCTTCATTGACAGCGTTGTCTGACTTTCTCATATTTGCTTTTGTTGTTTGTTGTTTTTTTTGTTTTTTTCTTGTGTTTTTTGTTATTTTTCTTGGTGAATGTCTTTGCGTATATTTATACATTACTGCTTTTTTTGTGAGTTGTGTTGATAATATTTATACGCTGAATGAACTTGTGCAGGGTAGACTAAAGGAGGGGGAGGAGACATCATTTTTTCTAGATGTGCAGAAGGCCTTCGATAGTGTGTGGCGTAACGGCCTGTGGTTTAAGTTGTGGGAATTTGGGGTAAGAGGGAAGATGTGGAGGGTCATAAATATATGTTATGTTATATATATATATATGTTATACGTGCGAGGGACATACCGGATTTCAATGAACCCGAGGGCCTCCGCGTTTGTAGTGTCCCGAGCGCAGCGAGGGCACTACGCGGATGGCCCGAGTGTTCATTGAAATCCGGTATGTCCCGAGTATACGGAGTACATAACATGTTTAGTGCAGAGCAAATCAGCTCCGTATACGCGCACTGCGTTTCCAAGCACAGGGAATTTGAAAGATGCGAGAAAGAGACGAGAGCGCAAGACCGTCATCTCGTGCGGGACTATTGAACGCCGAACGCTAGGATACGCTGCTCCGCCGCTCTAGCTACTCCCGCTGCGGGACTGTCCTCCGCCACTCATCCGAAGAAACGCGACAGGAGACCTGCGCGAACCATCGCAATCAGAGAGAGGCGAATTCAGGCGCTGTGCGGGCTGCTATACCGAAGGCGTTCGCCGTCGACTTACTAGCTTTGTCGCGCGCACTCGCTCGCGGAGCCCCACCCCCTTATTTGCGTGCGGTGGTTTGTGGCGGGCGTGAGCTGCCTGGCTATCTAATATGTATATACATGGCAAGGAGGGAGATGGGCTCAAAGCAGACACAGAAAACTGTCTCGTGGAAAAAGAAAATCAAGATATCAGTTATTTTGATCAACATTTTGTACAGATCATGTTTTGCGGGATACATTTCTTACATGAAATGCTGTTGAACTTGTTGAAAATCAACAGAAAAAACAAGGTTTCATATCATGTTTTCATGTTACTTTTGTTAGCTCACGAGGTTCATATGAGAAATCAGGAACCTCGTACTAACAAATCTGATTGGTCGATTCGAATCAGCTATGCACTAAAGAAGATGTATGAGTATCCAAAGAGTGCTGTATTGTTGGATGGGGAACGGTCAGAGGTATATATATTTGATGTGGAACAGGGGATAGCTCAGGGATGTAGCTTATCTCCAATTTTGTTTTCCGTATTAATCAATGGGTTGTTGAGGGAGGTGGAGGAAGCTGAGATTGGGATCGATTTAAGTAGTGGTGGGAGACTTGGAGGACTTTTGTTTGCAGATGACTTTGTTGGTGTTAGTGAGTCTAAGGATCAGTTACAGACGCTTATAGATGTGGTGCATGCTTACTGTCGAATATGGAGGCTAAAGGCTAATGTGAGTGGAGTCAGTGGATGGTGCTTGGAAATGGGGGGAGTATGTTTTGCCTAGAGTATCTAAATATATACACATACTTGGGTGTTGATTTTACTAATACTGGTGCATGGGATAATAGGGATATTAATTTGAGTGCTCGCAGGTTGTTGTTGCTGGCGGTGGTTAGGCCAACTTTAGAGTATGGGGGTGAGGTGTGGGAAGCCAATAAGACTCAGGCAGCTGTGTTAGAGTCCGTTATGCTGGGAGGAGCTAAGCGTATTCTTGGGTGTTCATCTAAGACATGTAATGAAGCTGTTAGCGGGGATATGGGGCTTGATACGTTACAAGGGCGTAGGGATAAGAATAAGTTGAAGTGGTGGTATAAGTTAGCGGCATTGCCAGGCAAAGGTATCCGAAGAAGCTTTTTAGTCAGGAATGGAATTCCACGGAGAGGAAGGCAGAGGAAGAGTTGGAGTAAGGTCATTGATGATCTCTTTTCGTCATTAGGTCCAGAGTGGTTGCATGATATTCAAAATGGTGATTGCTCCTTGAAGGTTTTTTTTGTCTATAGTAGGGGACAGTATTAATGAGAGGGAGATTAGAAAGTTTGAAGAGGGGATAAATAGCAAAGTAAAGCTGTTTATAAGACATTTAACAAGGTGGTAGAGTTCAAAAAGTACTTGCATGGGAATAGTGATGCTGGGTCTAGATTAATGTTTAAGTTCAGGTCAGGCACGCATGGGTTTTAAATGAGGAACTGGGTAGGCATAGGGGGAGGGAGGGGGTGAAGGAGTGCCTGTTGTATGATGATTGAGTGTGAAAGTGTGAGTCATGTGTTGTGGGAGTGTCAGCATATATCGTAGTCTAGGCAGTTGCCTGCAGGGGAAGCTTGGGGATGATGGGTTTGAGCATTTCCAGTAAAAATCACTGGACAAGTCCGGAATTGCAGGAAAGCATCCTTTATATGGGTGGTAGTGAGCTGTGAGGATAAATGTGTTCTTGGTTGGCCTTGTTAAAGATTTATTCGATGTTTGGGAAGCTACGGAAAGGTTAGGTGATACGGCGCAGATAGTCCCAGCGTACAACAAACCCAGTCTCAGATGTGCGTCGAGCTGCACATGGCCTGTCGCTGGTGGAAGGGTGACGTTGAGGTGTCTGGAGGTGGACAGAACCTCATGTTCATACTGGTGTTATGTTCGTTTGTTTGACGGTTCCGCCCAGTGCTACTGGGTGCGTGGTCTGCTGGCCCTAGTGCTATGCGAGCCACCTGAGCTCTATACATTTTTATACAGTACTGCCTTTTTGTGTTGTGTCCGCACTTCTCATTCCTCATGGATATACTGTCGATACATATAAGAAATGGCTACAATCAACTCACCTGCAGCATTGTCGTCTGCTCCCTCGTACTAGAAATGCAGAGTAAAGCTAAGTTTGGTCACCAAAACACGTAATGTATTTATCAGATATACATCCTGAAACGTCACATTTTCAAAATCGTGACACGATATAATTACTGCATCTGTGAACGCGACTCCGGCTCAGACTAAGCGCGAGAGGAGGGGAGCCGCGATCACGGAATGGACGAGGTGCGATTACAAGTTCCTGTGGGCAACTCGTAAAAGACGCTGTCTACTGCCAACATTACAACAAGACCTCCAATCTGCTCCTATTCACTGACAGGTGGTCTGACCTTTCTCATATTTTTTTGTTGTTTGTTGTCTTTTTTCTTTTTTTTCTTTTCTTTTTCCTTGGTGAATGTCTTTGCGTATATTTATACATTACTGCCTTTTTTGTGTGTCTCACACTTTTCTTTTATTCCTCATGTCATAATTTGTCTAGAGCTTTTTAAATAATAAAATTAATGGCTACAATCAACTCTGCGGCATTGTCGTCTGCTCCCTCGTAATAGAAGGACCTTCAGACAGTCGAGAAGAATACCGTGCAAATGCACCACGACTTGCAAAGCTGGTCAAACCCGGATAGGAGCTTTGTTTTGCTACGGCATCGAAAACAAGAACGGCTATTATGTGTTCGGCGATCAGCATTTGCCAAATATCCAGTGTTGGCTGGGTGCTTTCAGTGATGCCGGATTATGTGACCTGAAAGTACGCATCGCACCAACCACTGATCCCAACCGCCAGTACACAGTGTGATAGCTATCCAAAACGTATTTATGTGTGCATGCCGGTTTCCTATACGGCACTATTGTGATGCGCCAAATTAGCCCCTGTCTGAATGCACCATTATTTCCGGCCACGCGCAAGCATGCTCTATAAAATTTCAGTGTCGGTAAATTAGAGAAACAAAGAAAGTCTAGGTCCAGCTGCTTATACTGAATCATTAAGGAGGAGATCGCAGGTGGAGCTGTCAAACCTTTTCCCTCTTAGCTACTTGTCTCCCTAAAGTGTCGACGTCCAAAGGCAAAATATTTGGACCTTTCACACACAGTCACGCGCAAAACTGTGACACTATATTATACACCAGAATGACCGTCACAGACAGTATGTATCTGCATGTGAAGGCATATACAATGACTCAAATGACAGGTTCTTAATCATCCACTAAATAAAACCCATGGTATATAGGCAGAACTGTAATAGAAAGAGTTTTCAGATATTGAAGCAACACACATGTTGCTGCTTGAGGGCTGAAGTACATTCATAGAGAATTTAGGCTTCAAAACAGAAACCCTCAGGAGGTTTCAGAATTTGGTAGCAAGTTCATCGTTCTATGTAAAACTAGGATATCGCTAGGGTTTCCTCTAGACCCTCTGCGGCATTACAGACCTGTGTTATACCGGTAAATACTCCACTACAGACCGTGCCAGCTACAGTAACCTGGCACTGATCATGCAAAAATCACAGTGTAAAAAGGTGCGTGCAAAGGTCAAAGCTAACATGTTGCCTTGGCAGCTACCCGTGTCTTGAGGCAACTTCAAACGTACGCGACAAATGCTAACCTGTGGTCGGAATCCTTTTTAGCAACATCACCACCATCCAACAGAGCGAGTAAGGTGATCTCCTGCCTGAATTCCTATACCACAACCTATACCCTTTGATGTACGTAATCATTGTTGCAAAGCAAATGCATTGATGCGTCATGATCAGTTATAATAGCGGTATTACTTCCTCTGGCAAGTTCATACTCCTTGAGTGTATTGACCATCATAAGTGTATATTATAGTCCTATTAATACAAACACAATCCAACCGTGCATAAGTGTAACTAGCTAACACTAAAAAAATCAGGATGCATGTTGAGTTGTATAATGTGATACAACTAACTTATGACAACCATCATAGTTATCAGCTACTCACAGTTCATCTCTCTTATTAACATTGATCATTGTCAGGTGTAGGCTCATATTTGTAAAGAGTCCACGTAAAGGACTCCAACCTTTGTTTGTTTTGAAATGCCTCATCTCCTATGCACACCTCGACAAAAATTAACACGTCATTATAATAATATCACTAGACAACCTATAATAATTATGGTAAACTTTCCTAGGTTGAGGATGTTGACACAAATTAGGTATATAGGTGACCAGCTACCAGCTGAATTGTTTTCATGCTAGCCTATAGTGTGAATGTGTGTTGGTGTTAATGACATGATTGAGTCCTCTACGTAACTGAATGAGACAGTTTTATCTCAGTTTCGTCACACTACTTACGACTGATGTGTTTCTTATTTCAATTGTGCATAGACATTGTAACTTACCAACCATCCACACCATCCCCTCCATGCAAAATAGGGATACACTGTTATCTTGCTGCCTTCCAGCGTCTTATAGAGTGTAGTAGGGGTATCAATTGAATAGTTTAGGTCGTTGGTGTAGAAGAAGGTGGTATCCAATCCAGTGTGAAGCTGGTAGTTCAAGAGTCCTTCTGTTGCGAGGCCAACCTTGGCCACAATCTAAAGAAAGAATGTGTCGCTTTATTGCAGTAAAGCACATTATGCACTTACCAGATGTACAACATTAACATTCGCCTCAACCATAACACTTCCAGCTGCTGTAACTTTCAAACTAGTTGTTACATGTCCTAAATTATCACATAATTTTAACTCCAACCCTGCAGTAATATCTAGGGTTGCCTTTAATTCAAACTCCATGGGAATTATTGCAGGTATAATTTGGTTGATGATGTTAAAGACCATTCGTTTATACAAAGGTTTGTTGAAAGTTTTGCAAACATTGGCATCCTCATTCACCTCAATGTTTATGAGAATTTTTCCCATTCACATTTACATATAGGCTTTGACTCAGTTGACACTGTTGACTTTCTTGCGCAGGAGAATTTATCTTAAGAAAAGGCCACCTTAAAAATATTCATAGATATTTGGGGCCTTTCAGCAATTTGCATTTGTCCACCCATTCGTGTATTCACCATTTTATTGGAAAACGCTACCATGGACACCAGCGCCAAGAGGTTTTTTTAAGTTTTATATGTTTTTCCACCCAAACCCATTTATTTTTTGGCCTTTTTTCCAGCGTTTTGGATTTTTTTTTGCAAAAAATTTTTCGGGTTTGGGGTTTTGCACATTTTGTTTCCAATTTTTTTAACTGGTTAGGGGGGAACCAAAAAAACTTTTGGGGTTAAAAAAAAAAAAAAAAAAAAAAACCTTAATTTCCTTTTTTTTTTTCCCCCCCCCCCCCTTCCCTTTTTTTTCCCCTTT